CCTCAACCCACGGTCTTCGAGGTTGTCGTACGTCTTCCACCAAACTCAAATTCTGAGCTCCAGAAGCTTTGAATCCTTAACTCAATCACCTTGGGTTAGTTGTAGGGAAGGATTGAAGGAGGATTCTTAGTAGAAAAAAGGGAGAAGAATGTTCGAGCACCAAAGAACTTCTCTCTAACTTCTTTCTAGTTTTCCTTAAAACATGAACTTATGGAGTTCGCGTCTTAAGAAAAACTTTATGTATCATTTCTTAACTCAGTTTGAAACTACTTTAGAGGTAACTTAATTCTCAGGATCTCTTGACCTCTGGAGTCTTAAAACAACACTAACAAAAAATAACAATTAATCATATAAATAAAAAAATACAATATTACACTTGTAACAATTAATATGCATTTATTATAAAACATAAATAAAAGAGAGTATATTATAAAATATTAAAATCATTTTATGTAAAATAAGAAAATTTATTTTATTTTGTAGATTATGTAAAACAATCTTAAATGCCGATGATAAAGGAGTGAATGTAGTAAGAATTAATAGATAGTATCAAGTAATATCTCATATGAAAAGTCTTCATATTCGGTCCAATCATGAAAGTGGAAGAGTTATCCATTTTATTCGAGAATGTTACCATTCCTTTGAAGAGTTTGCACTTCAAAAATATTCGATTAAAAAACCAATCAAATCTTAGTCTTGAGTTTCTTGACTCTCTATTTTTTTAGTGTTTAATAAAAATACATATTTTAATATAAATTTATAATAATTTAAAATTAATTCAAGTTATATTATATTAATTAAAATAAAGAAACTTTTGATTAGATATAAATTTCTTTTTAACCAAATCATATCCATAGATATTTTTTAATTTATTTTTTAGTAGATTTTATACTGATATATTAAATAAAATAACTATAAAAACTAATTATTTTTAGGCATATTACAACTAATGATTAGATAATGATACACTATTTTCTCTAAACTTATATATAAGGAAAAAATTTCACACGAAATAAAAAAGATAATTAAATATTGTTATGTTTTTATATAAAATAAATACTACATTTATTAAAATATCTCTGATTGCATTTATTGTAAATAATGTTTTCATTTATTATCTTAGGATAATTTTGAATAAAGAGCATTAATAAATGAATTTGAGTTGGTTAAAATTTGATTATATTTAAATCTAAAAAATGTAAGAATTTTTTCACATAGTTATAAATGCAAAGGGTGTATCATTTATATTATTAGTATATTCAATATAATTTTTTTTTTTTATAAATTTAATGATTATGTATCGAGAGTTTAAAGAATTTTGTTAATGTCAACCAATTATAACTCACTAGTAATGTCATGATATTTTTATTTATGACTTTTTAACCATAATTTGTCTTGTATCGAATATCCCTCAACTCATTTGATTAAAGATTAACTTGCTAGCAGTGTTGTGACTATAGGCTGACCTAAAGGGTTTTTGCATTCAATGGAAATCAAATACACAATTTTACGCTAACTAAATTATAATCACAATATGTGAGTATAAAAGAGTCAGTATCACTTGAAATCAAGTGTAAATCCTAAAAATTTACACTAAATTTTATATTTTTAATAATTTAATATATAATATAAATTTAATTGATCTAACTATTAATTGTGTGAATGGTACTCAAAATCATATATACTAAACTTTACATCATTTAAACTTTTTTAGATGTATTATTCAAAAAAAGATAATCATACATATTTTAAATATCTTATTGTATGTTAAAATAAAATAATGTAGTGAACTTAGTGTGTTTGAATGAAAAAACTAAATGGATTAATTTATTTATTTGAAAATTTTTAAATTCTTTGAGGTGAAATACCTTTTTGGATGGAGAATTTATAAAGAATTTGAAATTCAAACATTTGTGAATTTTCTTGAAATAGTAAAATTTTAAATTCTTCTAAAAAAAGTAAGAATTTAAAATTTCTCATATTTTTGTTCTTATTTCACTTATATATTTTATCTTACCTCTTCATGTTTTTAATTATTAAATATTTAAAAGTATCTTTAAAATTATTAAATATTATCTAATATTAATTTTTAAAATTATAAAATATTTAAAAATTAGTTAATATTTATTTTCATAAATTTAATTTAAAAATCTCAACTTATAAATATATTTTTAAAATCAATTTTATCATGGCAGAATCAAATTATCATATCCAACCTAACAATTTAAGATTTAATAAATTTGAATTGACTTATCCAAATAAAATATTTTAAGAATGATAAAAATTGAAATTAAAATAATTCAAATACCAAACATTTAAAATTTCTTAAATTTATAAAAAAAATTTATTTAAACACATCATCAAATAATTTTGGAATCATATAAAATTTGATATACATTATCTTAAGTATAATATAACATATTCAACAATTAAATCAGTTAGATTTTCATTATTAAAAATTATAAGACTTAGTGTAAAATTTTAAACTTACATTTGATCAACACATACAACTCAATATAAAAGCATATAATTATTTTCTATTTTTTATATAAATACTATAACAAATTAGATAGCAAGTCAAAAAGTTTTTCACCTTCATAAATTAATCACCATGAAGATTGAGAAAAGTGGTTGTGAGATATTGAAAATGTGAGTGTGGTTTGGCCATTAGAGCCTCGAAAGGCCAACTTTATCTTTATGACATACGAACGTAACGAATCACAAACGCACTCCTTCAAGATTCCTTTTACTTTGGAACAACGAGGTATATTCTCTGGATATTTCACACATCACAATAAATTTAAATTAAAAACTCCAATCAATTCTCCACCCACTTTTATTAATTAATACTACTTTGGATTTTACCCAAAATACAATAATGACCATACGAGCTGCCTCAAAATTCGATAAGTATAAACTAGTATCAAGTGTTGGGGAGTATTAAAAAATAATGTTCATATTAATTGAAAATAAACCCACTAATATAGACTTAATAATAACTAGTAATATAAAAAGACACTCTCTATGACTTCATGAAAAAATTAAATATTTTCTTTAAAAAAAAGTAAGTATTTTTTTTTTAAAAAAGAAGTTATTATTTTGTATATACATTTTTCTATTTTATTCTTAGATATATATTGGTAAAAAAAATTGAATACAAATATAAGAGTATAATTGTCTTTTGAAAAATTAATTAAAAACAATATAAAAAAATATAATTAATGGATTCAATTGTATTTTTATGATTTATTAATGATTTTATTTTGATATTTTTGTGTATGATATTATCATAAAATATTTTTTTCTATATCATAATTTAATTAAAAAAAACTGATTTTAATTAATATTATTAAAATACTCGTTGTAAGACTTTAAAATATTTCAAATTTTGATTGTTTGAGATGAATAATTGAATAAGAATGAAAAAATAAAGTACATAGAGTGAGAAAAGAAAAAAAAAACACTTTGTAGTATTTAGTTGGCAAAAAATTGATCATGTAGAATATGTTTTTTACAAGATCGTGTAGAATTTATTACAAATTAAATACAATGCATCTCTTCTTTATAATAGATTTTACTCATAATTTTATAATTTTAACAAATATAAACCGACAATAAAAAAATAACTTAAGAAACATGTTAAAATATATAGTTAACACTAATGGAAAGAAAATAGTTTAGAAGCCTTGGACAGCAGTCACATATCCACGGATCTTGTCCAAGAATAGCATGACTTCCTCAAAATTCATGAATTTTTTTTTGTTTTATTAATATCCGAATAAAATCCCCCAAATCTAAAAGGAAAAAGACTGAAAACGAAAGAGATTAAATCAAAAGGGTTGAATGCATTTAACAAGAGAACTTGGATATCAAATATTTTGATTACGCAGACTTTTAATTAATATATAATATAAGTTGGTATGGCCTTATCCTTTGTTAAACTCCAAAAACACGTTTTCCTTGATAATTTATTTTATTTTTAAAAAATAAAATATAATAAGATTAGTATATGCTTGTATTGATTTAGTTTAAAAATAAGTAGATTCTTTTAGGGTTTCATAAGTAGTTTTACTAAAGCACACACTTTGTTAGATTTTTATTTATATTATAGTTATATTTTATTATTAATTTTATATTATATATAATTATATAATATATAGTTACATATAAAGAGAATACCCTTATTTTGTAACACAATATTTTAGACATATACTTTTTTTATTATAGTTTAATTTAGTTTTCCAATTATGTATGTAATACTAATCATCCACTAATTGTTCACTTATATATATA